GTCCATTTGTCACATGTAACTTTGCAGATCCATTTTTATGTTGATTTTCTTCAAGCGTGACTTTCATTGTTTTTTTACAAATCTTTGATTTTGATTTAGTTTCCAGGAAATGACAGTGTGGGTATAATTGCAAATCTCTATTAGGTTCGTGTAAACATTTACTCATTTATCATTGTAAAACCAGCATTAATTAATTTCTCGATTCTTATATTAGTTAGATTGGCTTCCAAATTCCGAGTTTTGCTCTGCTCTGAAATTTGATCAAAGATAACTTCATTTTAAAATATTCTAACTCGATCTAAATAATAAAAACTGCAACAACTTTTTAATCATTATTCTTACTCATGTTCCCCCCTCTATATGTGTTTCAAAATCCAGCTTTGGAAGCACACCTAATATTTAACATGTCTTTTCTCATCTATAGCCTAATAATGTCCATAACAATCAATATTCTTTTAAAATAATTATATCAATAGGGCTCCTGACTTATTGATATTGGTAACTAATTATGATACCAAACGTCCTTCAAGGGAAGAACATCTAATATTTTATATGGTTTCCTAATCGACATATCCATATTTAGAAACACCTAAATAGGTAGTTAGTAGTTAATTAATGTACAAGCTTTCGATTATATACATGCTTCTTTGTGCATGATAATCCTCTTCTTCTGCATTTTTTTTCATTTACTCACATCTTCTGCAATATTATCACATGTGTTGTTGGTGGGTGTTGAGAAATGTAGATATGATGATATGGTCAAACATTTCACCCACAAAGTATCGAGTGCCCTTTGTCTATTTCTTCGTTTTAATCCGGTTTACTAAGTTGTCTTCTTTAACAGATTAAGTTCAGTCTACATGTCTGATATGGCCAAATAATTGATAACCTCACAATTTCAAAAAATGAAGATAAAATTACTATAGTTTCAATAGTATGTAGATCTAGTATATTCCATACTTAATTGCTTTTAATGAATCTTTGAATTTGAATTTTAATGTCTAGAGAATATTACAATAATTTGAATTATGTGGATACTACTACTGTTCTAAGTATCTTATAATATCATCATATGAACCAACTAATATTAGGGACAATAGTACTTTAGTTTGACTTAGTTTTATTAGAATAAAGATGATATGTAGCTGAGAAAAAAAATTAATTCAATTGGTAAATTAGTTAATTTAGTCAATAAGATGAACACAATGTATCCTATATATAATTTAAGGAAATTACCATCATCGTTGCTATTTAAATGACAAAATGTAGCATCACTATTAGAAATATAGATAAATTGTTTTTTTCCTATTCAATATTCAAGAAAGTTAAAATATTTTAATCTATATATGCTTAAATTTTCATTATTATGAATATTACTATTGTTTTTATGTGTTTTCAATCCCCTACTGTTGTATATTACGGAGTACTATTCTTACATTTTTGTTTTTAAGGTGTCTAGATATTTCAGTTTACTATGCAATAATTTCATCAATGGTTAGCTACTCAATCATCCTTTTTTTGCGCATGAACAGTTGTGCGTGACGACGGTCTCGAAGGTAACAAGTCCATCTGTTACATACAAAGAAATTTATACTAATTCGTAGTTTCTTCAACACTTTCATGGACTTGTATGTACATCTTTCCCATCTTGTGATGGTTTTCACTTAATTTATATCATATACTACGTATTTCTTAGTTTACCATTACACAGACATCATACTTTGAAATTTATTAATATTTTTGAGTTGATTGGATCACTTAAGTTTTTTCTTTATAAATTTGCATTTTAAATTTTATACGGAGATTTCACTCACGTGCAACGCACAGATGGATTAACTAGTCTATTGATAAAGTAGAAAAGTAACTCAATTTGTATTACGGGCTTAAATTTCATGTGTGACGTTATAAGAAGTGATTAAAGTGATTAACGTGCATCTCGTGCAACACATGAGAGGAAAATACTAGTTATAATAATAGGGCAGTAGTAATAATAATAATATAAAAAATAACAATAAAAATAATAAATAATGTCTAAACTTTTTATGATCTGATTTGAATGTTCTCGATTCTTATATTGGTTAGAATGGCTTCCAAATTCTGAGTTATGCTCTGCTCTAAAATTTGATCAAAGATAACTTCATTTTAAAATATTCTAACTCGGTCTAAATAATAAAAACTGCAACAACTTTGTAATCATTATTCTTACTCATGTTCCCCCCTCTATATGTGTTTCAAAATCCAGCTTTGGAAGCACACCTAATATTTAACATGCCTTTTCTAATCTATAGCCTAATAATGTTCATAACAATCAATATTCTTTTAAAATAATTATATCAATAGGGCTCCTGACTTATTGATATTGGTAACTAATTATGATACCAAACGTCCTTCAAGGGAAGAACATCTAATATTTTATATGGTTTCCTAATCGACATATCCATATTTAGTAACACCTAAATAGGTAGTTAGTAGTTAATTAATGTACAAGCTTTCGATTATATACATGCTTCTTTGTGCATGATAATCCTCTTCTTCTGCATTTTTTTCATTTACTCACATCTTCTGCAATATTATCACATGTGTTGTTGGTGGTTGTTGAGAAATGTAGATATGATGATATGGTCAAACATTTCACCCACAAAGTATCGAGTGCCCTTTGTCTATTTCTTCGTTTTAATCCGGTTTACTAAGTTGTCTTCTTTAACAGATTAAGTTCAGTCTACATGTCTGATATGGCCAAATAATTGATAACCTCACAATTTCAAAAAATGAAGATAAAATTACTATAGTTTCAATAGTATGTAGATCTAGTATATTCCATACTTAATTGCTTTTAATGAATCTTTGAATTTGAATTTTAATGTCGAGAGAATATTACAATAATTTGAATTATGTGGATACTGCTACTGTTCTAAGTATCTTATAATATCATCATATGAACCAACTAATATTAGGGACAATAGTACTTTAGTTTGACTTAGTCTTATTAGAATAAAGATGATATGTAGCTGAGAAAAAAAATTAATTCAATTGGTAAATTAGTTAATTTAGTCAATAAGATGAACACAATGTATCCTATATATAATTTAAGGAAATTACCATCATCGTTGCTATTTAAATGACAAAATGTAGCATCACTATTAGAAATATAGATAAATTGTTTTTTTTCCTATTCAATATTCAAGAAAGTTAAAATATTTTAATCTATATATGCTTAAATTTTCATTATTATGAATATTACTATTGTTTTTATGTGTTTTCAATCCCCTACTGTATATTACGGAGTACTATTCTTACATTTTTGTTTTTAAGGTGTCTAGATATTTCAGTTTACTATGCAATAATTTCATCAATGGTTAGCTACTCAATCATCCTTTTTTTGCGCATGAACAGTTGTGCGTGACGACGGTCTCGATGGTAACAAGTCCATCTGTTACATACAAAGAAATTTATACTAATTCGTAATTTCTTTAACACTTTCATGGACTTGTATGTACATCTTTTCCATCTTGTGATGGTTTTCACTTAATTTATATCATATACTACGTAATTTCTTAGTTTACCATTACAATGACATCATACTTTGAAATTTATTAATATTTTTGAGTTGATTGGATCACTTAAGTTTTTTCTTTATAAAATTGCATTTTAAATTTTTTACGGAGATTTCACTCACGTGCAACGCACAGATGGATTAACTAGTTTATTGATAAAGTAGAAAAGTAACTCATTTGTATTACGGACTTAAATTTCAGGTGTGACGTTATAAGAAGTGATATGATTAAAGTGATTAACGTGCATCTCGTGCAACACATGAGAGGAAAATACTAGTTATAATAATAGGGTAGTAGTAATAATAATAATATAAAAAATAACAATAAAAGTAATAAATAATGTGTAAACTTTTTATGATCTGATTTGAATGTTTTCGATCTAATCTGAACGTTCATATTTAATTTCAATCATTATGATTTAGAGCCTGTTTGGTAATCATGAAAATCGGATGATTCGGCTGATTCTGTTGAAATTTATGAAGTTCTGACTGAAGTGGTTGCATTGGCTGGTTTTGCTGATTTAAGAAAAAAATATTTTTAAAATATATTTTATTAAAATAAAGAAAAAATTATATGTAAAAATAGCTAAAATGATCATCTACAGTAACTTCAGCCAATACAATCAGAAAAGTAACTTCAATCTTACTTTTCCTTATTACTAGTATTACACAATTTGGCGCGCAAAAACAAAAGTTACGTGTTTGATGAAAATGTTGGCTGATAAGTCGTAAAACAGTGTTGCCAAACAGCCTCTTAATTTAATTTGAGTAAAATAAATATAAGCGGTAAATAAAAATACGCTTGATGTATCCACTCTTATAGCCACCTTATACCCACCATGTTTGTGAATGTTTTTTTTTTGTCTGTGAACCTGATTCATAGACAATATTTTGTCTGTGCAAAATATTGTCTGTGAACCGGGATTCACAGACAAAAAACACTTAACAAATATAAGTGGGTACAAAAGTGGGTACAAAGATCATTTTTTGATAAAAATAAGCAATTTCAAACAACACAAATGTTCCGGTCAGGAGTTCCTGACCGGAACCGCCGTCCGGACCGCGGCGTTTGGCCGCCTTCCCGGTGGCTTTTTTTGATGAAATTTTTATGACATGTTCTCCATCAAGTCTAGTTTATCCACAAACAAAATCAGTCAAAAACTCAATCGGGAAGGTCGTCAAATAATTTTTGCAAGTTAACTGGTCGTCATATTCCGGACCAGTTAACTTGCAAAAATTATTTGACGGCGTTCCCGATTGAATTTTTGGCTGATTTTTTTGTGGATAAACTAGACTTGATGGAGAACATGTCATAAAAATTTCATCAAAAAAAGCCACCGGGAAGGCGGCCAAACGCCGCGGTCCGGACGGCGGTTCCGGTCAGGAACTCCGGATCATTACTCTTCAAACAAATATTTACCAATTCTACCCATTATCTGATCCGGGTTTGTCGCACTCGCTCTACACGCTTAACCTACAGCGCGTGGCAAATCTATCTTTCGACGCGCCTGAGGAGTGTTTGCCCTAATCGTCACTGTTTTGTTCTCTATATTCAGCATCACCATGCGCCACCATCGCTGCAACTTGTTATCTAATCTGCTTAATATTCTGAGTCTCAAACCTCTCCCTTTCCGATCTCGTAGTAGTCGTAAGGCAAGTGATGTGGGTTTCGTTTTCTTTTGTCGTATTAAAGTTCTTTACTCCCATCTTATCCATTGCAGATCTGTTATTGCATTGATATTTTCACATGGGTCTCTGATTTTTTACTGGCTTTATTTATGACCAGATTCGGCTTAAAGGTTAAGATGGAGTCTATGGACATCGTTGGTAAATCGAAGGAGGATGCTTCGCTTCCCAAAGGTTTTATTTTTTGGTTTATTATTATAGTTTCATCTCCGGTTAACTAAGTTATTTGCTACAAGTATTTTTATGAATGAGCTATTTGCATATATAATTTGTTTCCCCAATTCTTGTCATTGAAACTTATCCTGGTGCTTAAATCACCATAGGTTCTGTGTTTCATGTGTAAGAGTTGGTTTCAATATGTCAGTAATGATAGTAGAATGTGTCAATGCATTATAGGGTTCAATGCTAACAGATGCTGTACTGAAACATGGATGTAAATCATTCCTAGCTGAATATATTGTGAAACAAATTACATGATTTCTCCTGTCAGTTTTGTCTGCTTGATGGGCTGGAGATAGATTTTTATGCTCTTGTTTGTTGTTCACCATCGTCAGAAACACAATTATGTTGTGCATTTTAAACTTTTAAAAGTCTAGAAGTATTATTGGCCATTTTAGGACTTTTGGTTCAATAAACTTGTATACTTATTCACATCATTACTGTCTTGCTTCAACAATCCTCTTTTTGATTTATTTGCAGCAACGATGACAAAAATTATTAAAGAGATGCTACCACCTGATGTTCGTGTTGCTCGAGATGCTCAGGATCTTTTGATTGAATGTTGCGTAGGTGCGTAGATATCACTGCTGCTTAGTAGGATGTCTGTTATAATTTGAGTAGATCCAAGTTCTTTTTGTTTTATCGTGAAATCACACGGTTTGCTATGTATCCTTCTGCTGGTCTGCTTAAGAATAATTAATGCGTGCAATCCATGTATAATCTATAAATTTCTAACACATTAAAATGCCTTTTCCTTCCAATTTTGCTGCTCTGTTATGTGCAGTATAACTTTCTAAATAAGCTATTATTTGCTTTGTAGAATCATTGAATTATTTTCCTTTGGCTCCACTACAAATATGAAAATGCTAGGGAAAGCAAAAATTATTTGTATGTTTGATTTCACATAAGGACATAAGAGAGGAAATTTAATATGGCAATTCTTTAGTACTCCGTAATATTTATGGTTCTTAGTTTTTTTTTTATTTATTCTAAATGAATTATGTCGTTCCTTTTCCCCTTCCCCCTCTATCTTTTCTTTTCCTACTGTTTTTCAAGCCTTAAATGTAGGTCTTAGACAGTGATGACTGCCCAATTACTATTCTACTGGACCAAAGTGGAGTATTTGAAACATAAGCATCTCATTATTATAATCTTAATTCTCTGGCAGAGTTATTCTAGTTCGGTATATAATACGGAGTAGCTGTCTTTGTTTAAAAAATTGAACTCTTTAAATCTTGCAGAATTTATCAATCTAATTTCTTCGGAATCAAATGAAGTTTGTAATAAAGAGGAGAGACGGACAATTGCTCCTGAGCATGTCCTCAAGGCTCTTGAGGTATTCAATTGGTCCTATTATGCTTTGATGTTATCGGTTTATTAACCATGCAATAGATCACTTTGCTTGTTAGGTTATCTAAATGTCATATTTTGGGCTGCAAAAAGTAGATTCATTTAGGCCTCTTGTTATTGTTATCATTATTCATCCAACCTTCTTACGATAGTCCCACCTTTTCGTTATTCAAGAATAATCCAACCTTTGCACCCCATCTTCATTCGATGGTCCCTGACCGGTCAATCACCTGCAATTCCAAGTTATTTTCTTATCTTTGCAAAATATTATCTTTGTGAAAGGTGAGATTTATGGTATAATGGTTTGCAAAAATAAGAAAATAACTTGGAATAGTAGGTCATCAACAGGTCAGGGACCAGTGATTGAAGATGAGGTGCAAAGGTTGGATTATTCATGAATAACGAAAATGTGGGACTATTGTAAGAAGACCGCTAAAAGGTTGGATTATTAGTTTCCATTTTCCCAATTTGTAATGGAAACATGCGATCTTCTATTCTTAATGCCCCCGCTTCCTTTGCAGCTGTTTCCATGGATTATAATTTAGTATGTTCATTAGGTACATAATTAGCGTCATTCATATTCCGAAATATTGTTTTTACTTCGCAAATAATCCAACAACAATGACAGCAGCAGCAACAAAAATGTATCAGCTATCTAGTAGTACACAACCAACAATTGAATGACAACCATAAACCACCCCTCAAACCGTCATAGACCTTTTAATATTGGTCAAGGTCCATTATTATTATTATCTAATAGAGAAGTTGATATTTCCATTTCTATTATTCTTATGATGATGAATGAATTTTATATAGTTGCTGGGTTGTGCTGAGTGAGTATTCAAATTATATGTGGAACTTTTGTTCTATTTTCCCTAAGCATATTATTAGCATTTTTTGAACATTTTGAAATCATCTTGGTGTTGACTTTGTTTCTAGAAATTATTAAAATATATGCCACTGACAAGTTACAACCTCACCATGCCGCAACTACATTGCCAGGTCCTAGGCTTTGGGGGGTATATTGAAGAAGTTTACGCTGCATATGAACAACACAGGATTGAAACCATGGTACTAGCAACATCTACCTTATTAATTATTACTTGTATTTTATTTTTGTTCAGACTGAATATAAAGTTTAACTTGTTCAATCTCATTGGCCAAAAACAACAACAACAACATTACCCCCGTGCCACAAAGGGGGGTTGGACGACCCATGAAAAAAATCGTGTAAATAATTAGATGGATTGGCTGTTTGCTTCATAACAAAGAAGCAGACTGTTTAGTGAGCCATATTGCTTTATTCCATCATATACCCAACTGTCTTTGGCTCCATTGGAAATGATGGAAATTTCAAACTCATTGACCAATAAAAGAATTCCTGGTGTTTGTGCCGTCATTACAGGATACTGTCAGGGGTGGGAAGATGAGCAGTGGAGCGGAAATGACTGAAGAAGAAGCATTGGCTGAGCAGCAAAGAATGTTTGCAGAAGCCCGTGCAAGGATGAACAATGGCATTGCCATCCCTAAACAACCAGACTCAGAGCCAGAACACAAGTGAACTGCTAACTTTGAGCAGTCATCTAATCATCTTTCAGGTGAAGGCATGAGTTATTGCTTTGTAGGTATTAGGATATTAGGATTCTGTCCTGCATTATCTTGTACAGAAATCACTTAGATGTTAGCCTTTCCTCTTTTGACCTTATACGTGTAGTTCATGAAGCTATGTCAATATAAATGTGTATGTAATTAGTACTTTGCCATCAAAACATTCCTGTATCATTGTTATTTAAAAAATTATTTGTCACACGCAATTACTCCCATAAGTTGAGCATCTATCACAATCTAGATTATGTTGGTTGGAGCAAGGGCGTTCTTATCACCCCTTCTAAATAGTGATGGACTCAACCGGTCCCGGGCCCGGGTCGGGCCTAGGCCCAGCTGGGCCAAAAAAATTCTGTGAGGCCCGGGACCAGCCCGGAAGCGGACCGGTGCCGGTCCGGGCCGGGTCGGGTCCGGTTATTTTTTTTCTTGATTATTTTTATCCCCTACCCCCCATCCAACAAACCCATCTGAAAGACCCATTCAAGCTAGGGTTGGACTCGGGCCGGGTGGCCCGACCCGGAACCGGCACTGTTCCGGCCCGGCCCGACCCGGTGGCCCGGTCAGTGACCGGTTCGGGTAGGCCCGACCCGCTGGGGTTCTGGTCCGAGCTCGGGCCCCTCAAAATGTGAACCGGCCGGTTCGGGCCCGGTCCGGGCCAATTTTTTTTTTTTTTTTGAATTTGTTTAAAGTTTTTGGGTTGGGTTGGGTATGTTGGGTCATTTGAGATGGTTTGGGATGGTTTGGGGTGAGAGGGTGGTTAGAGGTTAATTAGGAAAAGGCAAAAAAAAAAAAATGAATCGAGGCCCGGCCCGGACCCGGGGGTTACTCGGGCCGGTTCTGGGCCTCCCATTTCCTGAACCAAGGCCCGGCCAGGCCCGAACCGGCCCGGGTCCATGCCTAATTCCAGCCCATTTAAACCCAACCCAAAGCCCCAAACCAACAAAAAACAAAAAAAATTGAAAGGCCTGAACCGGGCCCGGAACCGGCCGGGCCGGTTCTCATTTACCTAAGCCCGTACCCGACCCGATTACCCACCCCAAACCGGGCTTAGACCCGTACCCGGTACTCGATTCCCGGGCCGGGCCCGCACAGTACCGGGCCGGGTGGCTCGAACTGGGTCTAAGCCTACTTCTAAATATAGAGCCCGTTTGGTAATCCCATTTTTTCAAACACCCAAGTGTTGTGACTTCTGATTTTACGAGTTGAATTGTGTAATAATCAAAATAAATAAAGTTGACGTTACTTTGTGAGTGAATTGATTAAAGTTGATATTTTTTTGAAAGGAAAACTAGCACTTCATTAATTCTCTAGATGGAGTACAAAACTTATCATTCTCTAGATGGAGTACAACACAATCTGGTGATAAATCAAAACTCGTACTCCCGTTCGGCTTAGAAAGAAAAGCCTTTGCCAAAGTGTGTGCCACTTTGTTCGCTGATCGTTTACAATGAATGACTATATTTTTCGGCTAATCAACAATATTACTCGTCTTTTCATTAAAAGGTTAACTTTTGATTTCACGTATTGAATTATGAATGATTATGTTTTTCGGCTAATCAACATTATAACTCATCTTTTCACTAAAAAGTTAACTTTTGATTTCACGTACTTAATTATGTAATAATCAAAATAAGTAAGGGTTGAGTCATTTTTTTTGGCTGAATTTACTTAAGTTATTATAAAGGATCATTTTAACTATTTTCATGTAATCTTCTCTTTATTTTATTAATAAAACATGTTTTAAATACAATTTAAAATATATTAGCTAGGCCCAATTATTTCGCAGTGGAGTTTGACCATCAGTTGCGACCAAACATGGAGGTGACACGCAACTACATATAAATACGGGAAAAATAATTTAAATATCCAAACATTGAGATAAGTACGTCAAACTTGCCCATGTAATATATATCCTTTAATCTTTATATAAAAATTTATATTAGCACCATGATCATATGCTTTTTACACAAATGTAATTTTATGGTTTTAAGTAGTCATGGACCCTGTCCAGTAAGACCGGCTCGGGGACCGGCCCGGCCCGCTACTGTGCCGGCCTGGCCTGGCCCGGGAAACCGGTTCCGGGCCTAGGCCCGGCCCGAGGGGGGTAACGGGGGGCGGTTCCGGTACACCAAAAACGCGAACCAGCCCGGTTCGGGCCTGTTTTTTTTTTTTTTTTTTTTTTTTGGGGGGGGGGGGGGGGGCTTTGGGCTGGGTTTAGATGGGCTGAGATGGGTAATTCCCGGGGTTTTGGGGTGGGGGTAGGGGTTTGAAATAAATAAGAAAAAAAAAAACGAAACCGGCCCGGAACCGGTAGTCTCCGGGGCCGGTCCCGGGCCTTACCCAATACCTTCCAGGCCCGGCCGGGCCTAGGCTTGAAACGGAATCGGACCGGGCCCGGTCCACCACTAGTTTTAAGTACAACAACGACATCCAAGTCTTAGTCCCCAAAAAATTAATTTCATGGTTTTAAGTATATAATATAAAATACACAAAACGCTTATCAGGATGCAATCAAAATTAGATTATGTCAAATTAATATTTATTTATTTCACGAATGAATTTTAGAATGTTAACTACATCCAAATAAAGGTTAGAGTATTTTATATTATGTACTTATTGCAATAAATTTATATTTGTAAAAAACATATTCATGGCGCGAAAAATAACTTTTTATATAAAGTTTGTGGTATATATATTATATATACAAGTTTGGAGTACTTATTTCACGCAAGGCCGTGCTTATCTTGAGGCCTATCAGCCTATGAGGCACAAGCCTCAGGGGCCCAAAAATGTTAAAATTTTAGGGCCCCCAAAATTTTAGATATTTTTGTAGTATATATATGTATTTCATTTATTTATAAATGGGCCTCCTTTGCCTTATCTCAGTCCGTTGATGGCCTGCTGTACTTCAAACGGCAAAATCAAATTACCAAATATAGCAGGCCATTAAAATTTAACTAGGTGCACCAGCCGCCAGCAGCACATATAGAAGAAGAAGAAGAAGGGAGTTTAGGAAATAGGATGATTTGCAATTCCGCCTTGTCCGGGAACAAGCAAAAGTGAATAACTCAAGTCTTGAGGCCAATCTTTCATTTTTTTTGCCTACTACCTTCTAAATTTCTACTATTTTCAATTTACGGAATTGTTTTGGATCGGTGGAGAATGATTGAATTTAGGGATAATTTGAGTTTGCATTCCATTTTGTTGTTTAAATTGGAATTTGCTCTCGTTTTTTTTGTAATTGCACCCCAATCCCGTGTGAAAAGGCAAAAATGTCGCTCCATTAACAATTCTGTTGCCATTCGACATATCCTAATTGAGGGCATTTTTGTTTTCTCATACAAGATTGGGGTACAAAGAACTTTCAAAACGGGATGCAATTCGCACAACAAAATGGGTGCGTAAACTCAAATTAACCCTTGAATTTAACTTTTAACTATTAATCAGTATTCATATACATAGTATAAAATATGTTAAGAATTTTATGATTCTACTCCATTCAAATGTTTTTAGTTTTTAAACTTGTCAAGCCATTTATCATCTGGTGTATATTACTCGTATGTGATTGTGTATATTATGAACTTGAATGCCAGAGAGCTTTTGGCCGAAATATAACTGGATATCCAGAATTGAAAACTCTTTTTTCTTGATATTTACTTTTTGAGATATTTGAATTATTTTAATTTGTTAACTGGTTACATTGTATTATATGGTGACAAGTCAAGAATTTATTATTGAACACATTATACTACAAAAAATTACAATGTATGGGGGTCTTTTATGAATTTCGACTCAGGCCTGAGTTAAGATAGGATCGGCATTGATTTCACGCCCTTTCAAATTTGGGATATTTATATTATTTTCTCCTATAAACATCTACCAAGAAAATAGGCAATGAAGAAAGCTACGGATATATGAGGGGTAGGGGTAGCCGAGTAGGGAAACTATACAAAAGACCACTCTGCATATTATGACCCCCCCCAAATCTTTTATTATGCTTACAATCTTAGAAAATAGCTTAATTTGCACAAATTTCACCCGTGATATTCATCAATCATCACAAATCTTACTCGATTAACTTTGGGAAATTTTCCACATAGCCCCCTTTCTAGACTTCCAAAATAATGTCACCCATATAATTTTCAAAAATAATTTTGCCCCTCCATGTTGGAGATTGAAGAGTCTTATGTGTATTCTATATTTCATTTTTAAAACCACATTGAATTAGCAAATAAGAAATGGCCGTACACTCATACTAGAATCTAGGTTCTAGCATCAACCCATAGACAAATTACCTTAATTTGTAAACATGTTATCTTCCTTATGTGCTTTTCTAGATGTCGACATTGAAGATCACATCCGATATTCTATGGAATCCTTGTGTGTATCTCTATCGCTTCTAATTTGGCTAAAGAAATCATAAAGAAGAGACTTGAAAAAACAACGTACATAAAATTAAAGACATGTTTGTTTGTATTGTACTATTGTTTGTCTAATCTGAATTCATTTGTCTAGATATTATCAAGTACTCCGTATGTTTCTTTAAACTTTGACAAGGTTTATTTAAAATGTCCGATTGATATAACTCTAAGGAACACTTCTTCGGTTCTTCCTCATTGGGAGTTGGTTTTTAAACGCTTGGATGAAGTTCTTCAATTAGTTCAATGACATTAAAGACACTTGACACAACATAGGAGTGAACCCAGGTCGGTCCGGTCCCAATTTCGGGTTGACACTGCCCGGTCCAAAAAAATCAAGGAGACCGGATCCGAACCGTTATATTCCAGGTTTGAGCCGGTTACGGGTATCCGGGCAGTCCAGTCCCGATCCCAGATCCAAAGCTATTTATTTAACCGATTCAAGCTAAAAAAAAATGGTATGTCCAAGACCAGAACCGCACGGTTCGGTCCCAAATATGGGAACCAGGGTCCGGATCCATCAATTACTTGGTGGGGTACCCGGTCTTGAACCGGGATGGAAATCACGGACCCGATTCGGTCCCACACAGTACGGACCCAGTTCCGAGCCAGGCTAGACCGGTCCAACCCAACACAACACATTGAATTTCAATTAAAACTCTCCACGGCGCTTTGGGGATAAACTCCAAAGAAGATACCACTTGAGGTATTTCTTTGTATCACATACAGAAAAGTAAAAGATTCGATTAACAATAAATAGAAAACTAATCTAAATACAGTGTCACCCCAAATCACAATATTTATATTAAGAACAATTCTTGTCTGTGTACAAGACAATTCAT